AGAGAGAGAGGGGAAGGTCCTCAAGGAGATGGATGGACACAGTGGGTGCAGCATGGGCTCAAATATAACAACAATTGTGGGGATGGTGCAGGACCGGGGAGTGCTTCCTTCTGTTGGGCATAAGGTATGGGTCAGCACTGACTGGACAGCACCTAATGACACTACAGCAGCAACAGTTCCATTCGGAGTGGGGGGGTTAATTTTTAAGAACACTTTGTTATGGTTTGGGTGACAGTTTCAGCAGTATGTCCACACTTTGTTGCTGACATTACCTGCAATCTCCTTCACGGAACAACCTTCTTCCTACTTCCCCATTTCCACCCCCACCCTTCCCGCCTCTTCGTGTCCTTGGAATTTTGTTTTTGGAAAATACTGTCCTTCTGGTCTCCTGTGGTTGATGGTTCTGAGGCATACGTTCCTCACAGGAGTAATTGTTCGTCTTAGAGACTTGTCTATTGTGTGGCTGGAAAATGATCTCTGGGAGCGAGCTCCCTTACTGAGGTGTCTCCAGGCTACAGACTCTAGTGTGACGAATATTGAATATACTCTGGACTTCTGGACCAAATCAAACTCGCTGCCATCCAGCCAATGCTGCCTCATAGCGGACCCCTGTGGGTTTCGGAGACTAACTGTTTATAGGAGTAGAAAGCCCAGTCTTTCTCCAGGGGCGTTGACAGTGGTTTGGACCAGCCAGACGTGTGGCTCGCAGCCCATCGCATCACTACACCACCAGGACTCCCTCCGGAAGAGCAAACAAATCCTTGTTGGAACGAGTCCAACCAGAATGCTCCCTGGAAGTGGTGCTTCTCTTGGAAATGAGTGCTTTGAACTCGCCATCCATAGGGATCAGTCCTGGGAATAGGATACCACGCTTCTGGACACAGCAGAGGGGCAGGGAAAAAAGAGGACGACCCTCATGGCGATGGATTGACACAGTGGCTGCAACAATGGGCTCAAACGTAGCCACGATTGTGGGGACAGTGGGGAAAGCGCAGGACGGGCTCCAGTTCCTTCGGTCGTACACCGGGTGGCTTTGAGTCGGACCTTGGAGGGCAAGTAACAACAACTTGACCGGGAAGCGCTCCGTCACCCAGCTCCTACGTTAATTGGGCATCGCTCCCCATGGTTACCCAATGGCTTGCCCCTATCTTCAAGCCCCTCCTCCCGTGCCGTTTTAAGACCCGCCCTTTCTGCAAGCCCCGCCCCGAAGGAGCCTGGCCGCTTCGGTTCCCTCCTCCCATCTTCCCCTTTCACCTCCCATAACCTCCGCTCTCCTCCCATTAGGCCGCTGGGTCACGCCCCTTGGCTTTGCCCGTTATCCAATCCCGTTAACTTGCTCCGCTTCAACCCCTCTTCTTATTGGTCCGCACGCTTCTCCATCCCCGCATGAGTCCTGAGTGACGGCGTCGCCTGCCTGTGACGACCGGAAGGCGGGACTTCCGGCGGCGCTCAGCCCAATAAGCACGCGTCGGCCCGCTGCCCCCAGCGGCCGCCCCCGCCCCTTCAGCGTCCCGTTCCCGCCCCCGGCTTCGCCTCCCGCTGCCGCCGCCTGTGCTGCCGCCGCCGCCGCCTCCCGCGGCCCGGGCCCCCAGCCGCCAGCATGCCGCACGCCTTCAAACCCGGAGACTTGGTGTTCGCCAAGATGAAGGGCTACCCACATTGGCCCGCCCGGGTGAGGCCGCGCGCGAGATGGGCCCGGCGGGGTGGGGGGTGGGGCAGGAGGGGCCCCGGGCCCGGGGGACCCGCGCACCGCAGGTCCGAGGGTCCCAGGGTCCCGCCCGGCGGAGGCCGAGGCTCGAGCGCCCCGCGCGCTGGAGTCCGGGGGAGTCTGAGGGTCCCGTGTGAGGAGGGGTGTCCCGGGGGCCCTTTCGCTGGAGTCCGCTCTTGAGTGACCCGCGCGCTGGGGGTCTGGGTGTTCTGGGGCGAAGCGGCACGAGATTTAGGGTCCCGGGAGCCTGAGAGAGCTTAGGGTCAAGGCTGAGTGTCCACAGGGCAGCAGGGTTCAAGTGTGCTGGCCGGTGAGTGGGGGTGGGTGGGTGGGTGGAGGCTGAGATCTGAGGATAGGAATCAAAACTGCGGGCAGAGGGGTTCCCCCAGGCTGCAGGACCTAGGAATCAGAAGGGGCCTCATTGAGGGGAGCTGAGATGAGGATGCATGAATGGACCGGGTTTGAGGTCAAGACCGAGGGTGTCTGGGGTCTGTGTCTGAGGTCTGCGAGAAGCCAGGGATGGAAATGGAAGTGGGTGGACGGGTGGACTCTGTTCCCAAGGTCATGGCTGGGGTTAGGGGGCCTGCACCAGAGAAAGAGGACTGGAGTAGTGGGCCTTATAAGGCTTGTTTGCAAGACCCTGGGAGCAGGTGGCCTGAGGAGACCCCCCTCCCTTTCACCCTCAATCTGGTGGAGGTGCGTGGCTGAGCTGACCAATCACTAGAATGAATGGGGTGGGCTCGCCCTCACCTATTGCTAGAACCTCAGGGAGCTCTGGAGAAAAGGAGCAACCAAGGGGATTGGGGGGGGGGGGCATTCTTTTGAGGAAGGTGGAACCCGAGGGAGTCAGATGGTCCCAAGCCTCCAGGTCTAAGGGGTGTCCTGCTTCTGGGGGTCCTGAGCCTTGCAGATAAGAAAGAGGCCAGCCAGAGTGAAGGAGAGATCAGGAAGTAAGTTCTTGTCACCTCCTGGTCACAGGGCTACTGTTGTCTCCTGAGTTTGGTGGTAGATCCCTGGCAGGACTGAAACAGTTGGCGGTTGCTTGGGGGCCTGTCAGCCTGGAGAAGGGTGGAAGCCTCTCTGAGGCCGAGAGTCTAAATGGGAATAAGCAGGATGGGGTCTCCACCTGGCCTTCCCTGTGGGACCCTGGGAGGCTTCTGAGTTGCTTGCTGCCCTTAAGGCAACTAACTGGCCTGTAGGTGTGGAACGGTCTCCCCAGGGTGCCGGGAGCTGGCGCCCGCTGGGCACCTCTGCCCTGCAGCCCCAGGGGCATGCCCTGGGTGGGGCGGAGGCAGCACTCAGGGTGACTGAGTTTGGGGAGTGGAGTGTCTGGGGGCGGGGGATGGGGGTGGATGTGTGTGGCCAAGGGCTTTGACAAAAGTAGCCCAGGGGAGTGGGGTGCCTGAGGCAGGGTGGCTCCAGCCAGGTGGAGAGATTGAGTGGGACCCCAGAATCCACCCAGTCCTGGTCAGCTTGCCCAAGCCGGGAAACTTCCCTGGTCCAAGCCGTTTCTCTGCGCTCCTTGGCTCCCTCCTTACCAGAGCGCTGCTTCTCCCTCTCCCCCTTCCCCAGCCGCTTGCCAGCACCTGATTGGAAGTAAAGGGGCTGCTCGCCTCCTGTGGGGAGGTGACTGACAGCTGCCTGAGCCCGTGGGCCTGGAGGGACAGGGCGGGACTTCCTGGATGCTGAGGGCCTGTCTCCTGCAGCCCACCCCCCCCCCCCTGCCTCCTCTGAGCTGCCAGCTGCAGCCTGAGCCCCATCCGCCTCTAGGGGACCACCCGTCGCCCGCCTCCCTCTGTGGGCGGGCAGGCGGTGGGGGGTGGGGGTGGGGTGGGGGTGGGGAGCCAGGGAGGGCTATGGGAGTTTGAGGAGCTGTGGCCCGTCCCACTCCCTAGGGGGGGGCTTCAGAGGTCCCTATTTGGCCTTGCTTAGGTGAAGCACCTGGGGGGTGGGGCAGTTTGCTGTGGGGTCAGCACAGGGAGGCAAAGTCTTAAGTGGAAGATGTTGACTGGGCCTGCCTGCGAAGACCCCCTCCCTCCCCACCGCTTCCCCTTCCTCCCTTGGCTATTTTCTGGGTGATCTCTCGGGTCTGGGGGTGAACCTGCCTGTACCCGGCTGCCCCTAACCATCTCAATCACCCCCTTGCTGCAGATTGACGACATTGCTGATGGTGCCGTGAAGCCCCCGCCCAACAAATACCCCATCTTCTTCTTCGGTACACATGAGACGTAAGTATTCCCACTGCACGCAGGGGCCAGGGTGGGGTGGGGCTTGATCTCCATGCTGTACCCCTACGCCCCCCCCCCCAGCACCCTGGCTGACTGGGGTTCTGGCCCCATACTTCCTCTCCCCAGAGCTTTCTTGGGACCCAAGGACCTGTTTCCCTATGACAAGTGCAAAGACAAGTACGGGAAGCCCAACAAGAGGAAAGGCTTCAATGAGGGGCTCTGGGAGATCCAGAACAATCCACACGCCAGCTACAGTGCACCTCCGGTGAGTGCCAGTGCCGGCAGCAGCCGAGACCTTCACTCTGACCAGGGTAGGCTGGCTGGCCCTGCTGGGTGGGCGGAGGCCTGTGGAGAAGGCAGGCATTTCCGGACAGCAAAGAGGTGTTAGTGGGCTGGTAGGAATCCTTGTGGGGACACGGAGTGGGATCTGAGGGGTGTCTGGGTAAGGCCATCAGGTGGGTGAAAAGCAGGATGGGAGGGGCACTGGGCCACCACTGGGGGTGAGCTGTGAATGGGATGCCAGGCAGGCGTTCTCTCGTTGGCCCACTGTGGGGGTTGTTGTGGGAGGAGGGAAAGAAAGCCTGGGTCAGGTGGTGAGGATGGGGCATTGGCTGGGAGGGGAAGAAACACTTGTGGACAGTCTAGGGGGACCGTCGGGGGAGAAGGTGACATCTGGGATGGGCCTGGTGCTGTCTGGCCCGTGGTTTTCTGTGAGCAGGGTTCCCTGTGGTTCTGGGAGCCTGGAAAGTTGGCGTCGCCGGGCTGTCCTCTGTGCTGGGGGGTATTGTCCTGTCTCAGGTCGTGGTGGGCTGGGAACCAGGAAGACAAGGGAGTGGGCTGGTTCGATGGTGCTGGTTCTGTGCTGCTGCCAGGGTGTGGAGCAGCCCCACGGGGTTTCCTCTGTGCCTTTTACTGTGGCGAAGAGCCGCGGTAGCACCCCCACCCCACTCCA